CTCTCCCCCCCCCCCCAGGCCTCTCCCCCCCCCCCCCCAGGCCTCTCTCCCCCCCCCCCCAGGCTCTCCCCCCCCCCCAGGCCTCTCCCCCCCCCCAGGCCTCTCTCCCCCAGGCCTCTCCCCCCAGGCCTCCCCCCCCGGCCTCTCCCCCCCCAGGCCTCCCCAGGTGGCTGGGTGCTGCTTGTTTTGGTTCAGGGTCTCTTGTGGTGTGTGTGTGTTGATGATTGGGTGGAGGCAGCTCCAGGTATGATAATAATCCTGGCTTTTGACACGGTGCCTTATCACATCGTTGAGGTATCTCAAAGTGCTTCACAGGGTATTCTGTGACATGGAGCAGCCAATTGCACACAGCGGTGTCTCACAAAAAGTCGTGGATTGAGTGACCATACTTTATTTGGGGAATTGTTGGCCAGGAAACCAGGAAAGAAACTCCCTTCTTTTCGAATAGAGCCGTGGCATCTTTAACACCCACCTGAACATGCAGACGGGACCTCGGTTTAACGTCTCATTTGAAGGACAGCACCTCCGACAATGCAACCCACCCCGTGCTGCAATGGAGCGTCAGCTTAGACTGTGTAATTCCAAAGTCCTGACTTGGGGATTAATACACAAACTTTTAATACAATCAGCAACTCAACAACATTAAATGTCTAATACAAAATGGGCAGATGGTGATGAGAACCCAATTAGTTATTTATGTATATTTTTATAAAATTCCTGTCCAATATTTACATCTAATGCGTGTCTGTGTGCGCAGTATGGATCTGCAAATGTAGTCAAGAGACACGACCCTACGTGAAGAGTTCTATATAAATGCAAGTTGTTGTAATCTGTGCACATTCAGGTCTGTACACAGTCTAATCCATGTATGCAGCATAGATAGCATGCTGCTTAGATCAATTAAATAATCTTTGCACTTCCTATAGTGTTTTATCATCGCTGTCTCAAAGCGCTTCACAGGATTTTACTGTAAAAGTGCAGTGACTGTATTTGTAGGCAATTGTCAAAGTTTCAAAGAGTGTAGACAACAATAAACTACACATCGCCATGAGGTGGCTTCCACCTGAGCCAAGCAGACACCTCCTTAAACCTTCAAAAAGATGCAATGTATACTTGTGTATTTTGCCCACAAAATACAAAGTCACTCCACTTTACAATATATCTTATGAAGCGATTTGAGATGTCTCAACGACCTGATAAGGCACTAAATCAAAAGCAAAAATTATTGTTATATTGTGTATTAAGATTGCACACAAAACTATATTTTCGTAAGACATACATTACATGGTGTGTGTCATGGAATCTTGACCCTCTGTGTTCCATTTGTCTTATTTTTAAATTAATTGTGTGCTCGCAGTGCATTTTAGTCTTCTCCGAAAAGTACTGATTTTTATTTTTGACATTTAGGATGCAATTGTACCACTTGGAGGTTATTTTAAAATAATAATGGAGTGTTCTCCCCCATATTACATTCCCTGTCTATAGCACTGTGTGCAATCTTGTCCAGGATTGTTTACATGGTGTTGTGCAGTCCTCTAGCATAGTGGTTAGGGCACTCGCCTCACAAGCGAGAAGACCCATATTTGATTCCCGGGCAGGGTGAAACCTTAGGTAAGTTTCCTTACACCACACGCCTTTATTTACCAGCAGTAAGTAGGAACCCGGTTGTTAGTCGATTGGCGGATAGTTGTCCGCGGTTAATAATCCATTCAAAAAAAGAAACTAATAATTTGGTCACTCAATCCACGTATGTGGGATACTGCTGTGCACAATTGGCTGTTGCATTTCGCCAACAAAATATACATATATTCACTTTACAGTATATTCTGTGCAGCACTTGAGATGTCTCAACAACGTAATAAGGAGCTATATCAAATGCAAGGATTATTGTGTGGTTGGTGTGCGAAGTGGTATTCAGGGCAGCCAACATCTGGTGATGTCTGCAGCCTCTTGGAAAACTCTTTGTGAGAATTTTGCTGTGTCCTTTAATATATCAACTTTGAAGATGTGAACTTTAAAGAAAAATCTGCTGTTAGCTGTGCTGTGTCCAGATGTTAGTGGTTTCACCAGGACCTGAGTTCCCAGTTCAGGTTGACAATCCAGTGCAGTACTGGGGGAAGCTCTGTATTGCAGGAGCTGCCATCGTTCTGTTGAAGTGCCATCCTGTTGTGTGTCAACCTGGCTCAGAGTTGGCACTCTCGCCTGTGAGTCAGAAGATTGTGGGTTCAAGCCCCCACGTCGGGACTTGGAATCACATAGTTTAAGATGACGCTCCATTGGAGTGCTGGAGGTGTATCATTGTCAGAGATGCTGTCCTTCAGATGAGACATTAAACTGCTCAGACAGATGTTAAAGATCCTGTGAGCTATTTAGTGTTCTGGTCACTCCATGGCTGTTTGTGAGATACCGCTGTGTGTAACTGGCTGCCGCATTCACCCACAAAGTATATAGTCATTCCACTTTACAGTTTATTCTGTGATGCTTTAAGACATCTCGATGATGTGATAAGGTGTTGTATCAAATGCAAGGATTATTATTATTATCCTAATTTTCACATGCATTGCACACAGCAAAATGAGAGCTAATCATGGCTGTAGAGGAAATTAGTTGTATTACAAATTTTATTTGAGATTTTGCTGCTGCCCATAAATATAGTTACTAACAAATGAGGTATTATAAACTATTTTATAATATGCTCTCCGGAATTGGGTACTGTCCCACCGGGGAGAGAGAGAATGAGAGAGAGTGCATTCCATTCCAAACACAGGGGCATTTCCATGTTTAAGTGACACTCATATGTGGAATTTGTCTGGTTTGGAGGTTCTTAAGATGGGTTTCTGTATGTGTCAGACACCCGGCTGACCCCAAAAAACTAATAATTACTGTGAACTTCTTGAGATGTTTCAGTATCCAAGGTGCTATAAAATGCAAATTCTTCTCATGTTTTCCCGAATCACGAGATGTAATCACACTAAAAAAAAGTTGATGGCGGTGGGAAGGTGGGGGTGAGAGAGTGAAGGAGACCAGGAGAAGTGAGAGAGAAAAAGCCCCCAGGCTATAGCAGTAGGGTGGGAAAGTGGAGCAATGGGCATGCCTCTTGTGAAGCAGACAGTGTGTATAACCTGCCTTAGCAGCTCTGTTCAATGCTTATTTACCACATCTAATCATGTTTAAGTGGCCTCCAGCAACAATGCTTTAAACAAAAGCTTATGGGAATTAGCTTGGAGCAGATTGGGGGGAGAAGGTGAGAGGCACTGAACTGTTTTATTGCGTTACGAGGTGTATGTTGCAGAGTTGCCCGAGTAACAGAAATTAATGTTGGTGAGATTGCTATGCAAGGTGCAGCCCCCCACCGCCGAAACACCTTGATCTTTATCGGATATTAACCCTTGCATTGCTGAGTCCCTTGATGGCCTGATGGGGTAAGGCATCCACCCACTATACCAATGAGTCAAAATAAATATTTCAGGCTGAATGTCTCAGATCTGTGAGATGATGCCCCATGTGAAGGTGCTATGTGAACGCAAGGTGGTGTTGGTGCTGCCCGCTGAGTGAGCTTATAATAATAATAATCCTTGCATTTGATATAACGCTTTATAATAGCTTTGAGATGTCTCAAAGCACTTCACAGAATATACTGTAAAGTGAATTGACTGTATTTTGTGGATGAAACATAGCAGCCAATTGCGCACAGCAGCGTCCCACAAACAGTTGTGGATTAAGTGACCAAATTATTATTATTTATCTGGGGAAGACGGGTTTGCAGGGTTATGGGGAGAAGGCTGGTGATTGGGGTTAGTGAAAGTGACGCTCTGTCAAAAAGCCGCACAGACTCAATGGGCCAAATGGTCTCCTTCTGTGCCGTAACATTCTATGAATCTAAGGGATTATTTCGGAAAGCGATCTGGCAATCGACTAACAACCACTAACCACTAAGCTGCAGCGCTCCAGAAATGATCTCTGCCAGGATGAGGAACTGTGGTTGGCGTCACAGCCTGTAGTCTGGTGAGGTGAGGGGAAGGCCTCCTGGCTTTCCTGATCACCTTCATTGACTCCTGCTGGGATGTCCGCACATGTCTGTGTTGATTGAGAACACAGTGAAACTTGTGTGTGATTTCCTCCCCCGAGCTCCCACTGCAGGGCCAGAGAAAACCAGGAAACCCTTCAGAAGAAGTGTTGAATATTATATGAGGAGATATAATGGAAGACAGAGAGGAGGTGTTAATGTTCTGAAGGGGTATAAGAAGGTAAAATGATGACTGGGACGAATGCTCAGGATAGTTATCAGAATGTTCGTTCACCCTCAAAATACACAGTCAATCCACAATATATACTGTGAAGCGCTTTGAGATGTCTCAACGACATGATAAGATGCTGTATCAAATGCAAGGATTATTATTATTAGGGGAGAGAGGTTGGATGGAGTTTCCTGATTCAGAAGACTGTTAGGATGTGAAATTCATTTCCACACATGGCTATTGAGATTGGATCAACAGAGTCATTCGAAGATGAATTGATTAGCAATGTGCGGAAAGAGCTGGAGAATGGGATAAATAGAAAAAAGGCCAAGTTAGGAAAACAGAGAGAGCACCGACCGGAACAGACGTGATGGGTCTAAAGGAATGTCCCGCTTTTGTACTGTGAAAATTCTTACGTTTCTATAAAGAAGCTACACAAGAAGTGGGGATATTTCAGCAACAAAAATTGGTGTGAAATTTGACAGTGCTTTGGGAGGGAGGGTGATTTCAGGAAGGTGGGGGCCTTTTCTCCAGCCCAAATGCAGGCCTGATTTATGGTCTGTTGTGTGAT